CGTGTGGCATTAAAAAGGACGGGCTTGGGCTGGTTTCACTGGCTCACGGGCAAGCCAGAGCGCACACCTAAAATTAAATAGGACCGGTGGGTGTTGGGCGGCCGACGCGCGGGCCTGAGGCGGAAAAGACTACACACTCACAGGCAGGGGCCAGAGAAACACGGGATGATCGTGCCGTGCTCCTCCCCGTCTCAGCTGGAAGCAGCGGACACGGCGAACCCATCCCGATGATGACGGCGAACTCGGAACAAACCAACCACCCCGACGTCGACCAATGAGCCTGCAACCGCACGGGCCGACGAAAACGATCCCCGGTCCGGCCCCGGCATTAACCACGCCACCCGTGCGCGCGCTCACCCATCCCCCACACGCACGTACTACGTGTGCGCGCGGTGGTCAGGTCAAACCACGCCCACCTCCCCTGCACGCGAGCCACAGGGAACAGAGCATCAATCAGGCCATCTTTCAACCCCATCTTTCAATGCCACACTCACAATTCTTTTTCCTCGACACCATCACTCACCGGTGTATACAGCCTTCTCACTCGTATCCTCTCTCGTATTTACAAGATGATAATACAGGCACGCGCGGCCATTGACCCGGGCCACCAACCAGGCCTTACACGTGCCTCCCCTTTTTTTCCAAAAAGGAAAATAAGAAAGAAGAGAAAAGAAACGGGAGGAGGAAGAAAAAAAAACTTGCTTCACAGAGTCGCAGTGTCGGTGAAGGACACATGCGCGCGAGAGGGGAGCTCACCGGCCATGCACGCACGGACGCCATTTCCGTGGCTCACAAGGGAGAGGCCGAGGGGACACCTACTTTCCTACTATCATGGCGACACGGAACTGCCGCTCGCTCGCTCGATCATCTTTATGTACACTACACCGAGCCACCGACAGTCTGTCGGGATCGGTAGGCTGCCGCCGGGAGGCCATCGGTACGTCGGAGCGCCGTGCTCGATCGACGGACGGCGGCAGGGACCGGCCGGCCGGTCCATCACTGCTTCAGCCGCAGCGGCGGCGGCGGGTGGGACTCGACGAGGATGGACCAGAGGATCTGCACGTCCTCGCACGGGCACGACTTGACGTCCTCGTACAGGATGTAGATCCCTCTCTCTGTTACCACCACACAACCAAAAGCAACGATCAGCACCACGCAGAATCAGAATCAGAATTCACAAACAGGAGCAATCTGGAAGAAACAGAGTGCAGAGAGAGACGAAGGAACATACTCTTCTTCTGCGCGGAATGCACGCGAATCCAGAGCTTCTTGATGGGCGCCATGAGCGACCGCAGCCACCCCATGAGCGAGACCCTCAGCTGAGCACGAGCACTCCCCCCCGTTTTGCCCTGCTCGTGCGTGCACTGACCAGCCGGGAGACGAGATGAAATAGCAACGCCAAGCTACCTTGTAGAAGGGACGAGGAGGAGGAGACGTGAGGGGGAAGAGACGGAGTCGCTTTGAGGCCCTGTGAAGTAAGTCTCTGCCGCTGCTTGGCTCGGCTCGGCCACTATTCATAACATCACGTTGCCGGGCTTCCCTTGTATCCTAATCATAGGCTTTAACGCTCTTGGTGCCGCGTCGCCATCCATCCATATCTCCCCCTACGAATACCAATGAATAATAATAAACAAACGAATTGGCGCGCCAATTTTTCAATTTTCTCGTCTTATTATCAGTCGAGGAGAAAACAGAAAGGGTGTCCCCTCGGCCCTGTCAGGTCAGGTCTTATTTAAGCTTTATGGCCGCCGTGGCCTACGCTGTCGGCAGAACGAGCCAGGAGTCCATTCGTCCATGGCTCCACTGCTTTGGGGAGAGACAGACAGAAGCCACGCTTGGAACATTGGCATTTCAGCAGGGTTTCATCGTTCCGAACGTGGGAAATCGTTCGCCAGGCCGTCGGCGTGGCGCCCTTCTCCTGCTCCTGTATGACTACTGCTATGCATTTTTGCACGTCTCAGTGACACAGCAGCCACCACACAACAAAATCATGCCATTTTCCCCGTCGGTGAGCACTGAACAGGGCGTGGCACAGGGCAGCCATGACCCACAAGCTGGCGCCTACATGGCCTGCCGCGCGCCCGTCGTCCAGGTGTCCGTCCGAAGGCGCGCAGGGCGTCAGTTGGGGCATCGCCGTTGCCCCACGGGCCAAAATGAATAGTCGGAAAGAAGAAGAAGAAGAAGGAGAGTGCGACGGTTTAAGTATCTCGAGCGATCACGAGGGGAGAAATCGTCAAATCGTCAAATCGAGCGGAGAGGGAGGGAGAGGGACTGACCCGTTTATTAATTCACTCATTTCATTCAGTGGTTGCCTCCTCGCTTTCTCCCGTGCGGGGAAGCTTTTCCTTCCTTCTCTCGCCGTACCGCGCAGCGACTTGCGGATCGCATGGGATCCACCCACGGAATGGAATCAGTGGAGCGCCGAGTCAATGTTTTTCCCTCCGTGCTTCGCACACCTCGCTCGGGATATTCTTTGCTTGAGCAGACCATCTCCTCCCCACTCTACATGCTACGCCAACCGACGAGCGCTTCTAGAGAATGGGTTGGTGCAAAGGCGCAGGGGCGGATCTAGACTGAAAATTACCCAGTGTCCATATAAAAGAACATATGCCTACATGTCAAACAATCAATGAACTACACACTAAATCAATGGATTATATTAAGCAAGTGCAAATTTCACCAGGTGCCGGTGACACCGGCAAGCTGTACGTAGCTTCGCCCCTGCAAAGGCGCATGCAGTGCGCGTGAAAGAAAATGATAAAAGACATGTTTTTTTTCGCGGTTGAAACTTTGTACTATTACTCAAGTGATAATGTCACGGTCTGTATTACAAAGCTTAATAACTTCTGACAAGCTAGAGTTAAGCCAAACTACAGTTCTATTCTCTGTTCTAGCATATTTTGCCAAATAGTCACTAACAACATTCTGGCTGCGATGAAGATGAGAAAAAATAGTTGTACGGAGAGATCGAAGATGCTTGATTTCTTCTACCAACGAGGTTAGTACCGATCTATCAGTGGCCCCCTCATTAATCATCCTCACAGCTTGTAAGGAATCCATCTCAACATGTATAGGTAGTTCCGTTCTCTGAATTGCTATTGATAATCCCTCCATACACGCACTGAGCTCTGCTTCTAGGGCATTCCTGCATGAAAAAAGCACCCTGCATGATGTAAAGATGATCTGGCCCGTGTTATCTCGAAGGACCATCCCAGCGCCTGCACCCCATCGGCCGACCAGGATCCATCAGTGTTTAATTTTGCCCAGCCTTCCACTGGCACCATCCACAGAGCATTCGCCACTGGTTCCGCTCGTACGCGAGGCAACTTAACATGATCGTACGGAATCACATGTTTCCCCTTCATCCGCTCTTCCTCAGAGTATGTTAGTGTCAAGAGCGAATCTAAATAGCTCACGAGGAAGCTTTTTGATACCTCCAATGGCGGGGGTTTCTTGTAGTGAGTCGCCTCATTTCTATTGTGCCATACTCGCCACAGCGTCAACATTAGCATGCAGCGTTCAATTTCAGATAGTGGCTGCAGCACATGAAGTAGCCACTCGGTACCTGTATTTCTCACTTCTTCCAGCTCCGGTAAACGCCATACAGTGCTCATACGTCGCCACATTTTCACTGCTAGAGGGCATCTGCATAGGGTATGAAAGGCGTCTTCCTCCTCTCGTCCATAGACCGGACAGTTACCTGAGAGTTCAAGCGTCCTTTTATGTTTATTCTGCCAAGTTGGAAGTGAGTTGATAGCAACGCGCGAGGAGAAGTTCTTCACAGTGGGCGGAACAAGGCTCTTCCATATCATTTTCCAACATGTACGGTGACCATCTGGAACAGTGCTAGATGATTCTTCTGTCAGTCTACACGTCTCGTTGAAGGCCAAAGTGTATGCCGATTTAACTGTAAATGCGCCACTCTTTGTTGGACCCCAAGCAAGTAAGTCATCACCAAGTCTTGGAGAAGCTCTTATTTTCAGAATCTCATGAACATCACAAGGGAGAAAAATTTGTTGTAGCAAGTCCATGTTCCAGGATCCATTTCCTCTTAAGAGTTGGGACACTCATCGGTATCGGCATACACCTTGTGCCGGAATTGGCCTGTATGAGAAAGGCCTAGGAATCCAAGCATCCCTCCATATTCGAATACTCCGAACATTTACCAGCCCTTTCTTGAGTAGCTCAAGGCCATGGCTGATAGCAGTCCAAGTAGAGGAAGCGTTACCCGAGAACATCGTATCCTCTAACTTGCCATTGGGGTAATACTTACTCTTTAGCAGTCTTGCACATAAGCTCTCAGGCCTAGTGAGGAGCCTCCAGGCCTGCCGAGCTAGGAGGGCCTGGTTGAACAACCGGTAGTCATGGAACCCCGCACCTCCTTTGCTTTTTGGTTGTTGCAGTTTCTGCTAAGACTTCCAGTGCACCTTTCGTTTCCCTTGGTATGCACCCCAATAAAAGTTTCTGACCATCACCGTGAGATCATCACAGACAGAGTAGGGTAGTTTAAAAACTCCCATGACAAACACCGGAAGGGCTTCAGCTACTGATTTAATTAGAACCTCCCTACCCGGTTGGGCTAAGTGTCCATCTCCCCATTGCACTAGCCTCTTCATTAGTTGCATCTGTAGATTTTGGAATCTACCTTTAGACATTCTGCCATTGGGTGTTGGTAACCCGTAACAGATAAAACATCACGTACATCCTCTTGGTCATTCATCGGGCAGGCTTCACCAAACATAATAGAGCACTTGTTGTAGTTTAGTAGCTGGCATGTAGCATTTGCATACAGGTCTAGATAGGATTTAACTTGTTCAGCTTGTGCACGAGACGCCTCAAAAAATAGGAGTGTGTCATCAGCAAACAAGAGGTGTGATATGCCAGGTGCACGCCTACAAATCTTTATTGGAGTAATCAAGCCCACTTCAACACACTGTCTCAGAATTGCAGACAGGCCGTCAGCCACGAATAAAAACAAGAAAGGGGAGAGTGGATCACCTTGCCGAAGACCACATGACGGTGCAAATGAATCCAAGAGGGTTCCATTGAATCTCACAGAATATCTCACCGATGTGACACAAGTCATAATCGAGTCAATCCATCGGTGAGCAAAACCCAACTTTTCCATCACTTGCCTCAAGAAGTTCCAGTCAACCCGATCATATGCTTTTGAAAGGTCAAGTTTATAAGCACAAAAAACTCTTAGTTGGATCCTTTTCTTGCTTGATATGGTGGATGCATTCAAAGGCAATGAAAGCGTTGTCTGTTATCATCCTTCCAGAGATGAAGGCACTTTGTTCAGGGGAGATAATTTCATCCAGAAGGGGCCTTAGTCTGTTAACAAGGCATTTAGAAACCACCTTATAAATCATGTTACAAAGACTAATGGGTCTGAATTCAGAAAGTCTTGTAGGGGTAGCAACTTTTGGGATTAACACGATAGAAGTCTCGTTAACCCCTTCTGGCATGATTCCTGTTTTAAAGAATTCCTTAACAGCCCTGATAATACTTTCCTTCAAAACCTCCCAATTCCATTGAAAAAATCTCGCTGGAAACCCATCTGGCCAGGCGCCTATAAGGGCCCAATCTGGAATAAAGCATCAGAGATCTCCTGGTCAGTGAATTCAGCACAGAGCTTATCATTATCATTGTCGGTTATCACCATATTAACCAGATCCACAACCCCCGAAGCCTCTAGGGACGGAGCTGCTGTGAATATTTCCTAAAAATAAGATGTAGCCATATTACTCATAGTATCAGTATCTGTATAGACATTCCCAGCAGCATCATGCAACTCTTTAATTCTGTTTTTCCGTGCACGCCATACAGACTTACTTTGGAAAAACTTAGTGTTCCTATCTCCTTCCTTCAGCCACATGATACGCGAGCGTTGCAACCATATCATCTCCTCTTTGTATAGAAGCTCATTTAGTTTGTCAGACACCTTCCTTATTTCCTGTCTGTCAGCATTCATTCGCATTAGTTCCTCAAGCTGGCTGCGTGATTTATTGATTTTCCTTGTAACGTTCCCAAACCTTCTGTTACTCCATGACCGGAGTGATGTCATGGTTGATTGCAAGGCAACACTAACCTGTCCCAGGTTCTCCATTGCACCAAAGACCGACCACGCCTTGTTTACAAGATCTGGCAATTCTGCGTCCCGTTCCCAAAAGATTTCATATCGTCGTGCTTTGGCTCTAGGCCTCTCCTGCTCTGCATCAAACTTTAGCAGCAATGAAATATGGTCCGAACAAGGGGATGCAAGGTGTTGCACAGAAGAGTATGCGAACATGTTCCTCCACTC